TGTGGAAGCCGAGGTGAGGAGGCGACAAAGATAAAGTCTACCTGACATGTCAAAGCCGCAGCCGCCTGACCATCACCTTGTCCCGGCTGTGATCGTCCCCGGCCCCTGCAGCGGTGGCGGCAGGGCGGCTGTGACACATATGGCCAATTATAGGTGGAAGTGAAGAAGATGATTCGAGCTGAAAGCCTGTTCACACGAGGCGGGTGTCCAGACGCTCTGCGGCTGAAGGGCCTCTGCACAGACTCCGTCTCCTGCCATCTCCTCGCCTTCATCTCTCTGTGTGAGCAAGTTTTTATTGTTACTTTTATTCTGGGATGCTTCTTATTTGCTTTGTCATCATGCTAAAGTCAATATTATACTTCATTCTTGCTTCATTATCCTAAAGTTAGAGATTTTAGACTTGCTTCCTTATTCTGGTAAAGTACTAGATGTTAGACTTTTTTTTCATTTTTCTAAAGCTATAGATTTCAGACTTGCTTCTTTATTTTGCTAAGTTAGAGATTTTATACTTGCTTCCACTGCGTTCTTATACTTACCTTTTTTTATTACGCTAAAGCTAGAGATTTTATATATGCTTCTTCTTTACTGTTCCGTAACAGTTGATGCAACACTGACATTTTCCCTCACAGAGATAGGAGCAAAGTCGACATATTGTACATGTTTTTAGTGGTTGGCTAAACCGGAGCACCTGGAGGATTCCTGGCAAATCATGCAAACACAGGCAAAACATGCAAACTCCCCTCAGAAACACCCCGTTCTGACCGGGATTCAAACCCAGAACCTTCTTGACGAAAAACGAGAGTGCTACAGATGTAAACAGACAACTATATATTACTGCACTAGAATATACAGCATTTTATACTTCTTAAAGGCTAACGTCAGGGGTTTTTAACTTAAAAGTACACAGGAGGAATTTCTACTTCTGGGTGGATCATCAAGACTATTGGTCCTCCTAACTGTCAATCATTCTGGTGATACGAGCTCATCCAATAAGACCAGAGAGTTTTGTTCAAAAAGGCGGGGGGGGGGCGTTTCGTTCATGTCTTAAAGTCTTGCTCCTCCTTCCTGCTGCTCTGTAACTTATGATGCAACCATAAAGCTTTTCTTAATCTTGATCATTAAATATGAATAAAAATTGCTTACTGATAATCTTTCTAACAATGAGGTTAGCTTGACTTGCTCTCCACGTGCAAAATAGAAACTGACAACCCCCGACTTTCTCTGCAACAGCCAAAGCTCTCACTACAAACTTGTCAATCCAAACCATGAAAGCTGACGCCAAACCCACGGTACTCTCTCTACTATTGTTGGAGAACCACTGTACTAGATCAATACTGGCTGTTCTGCCTCCGTTTTTTAGTGGCTAGATGAACACCTGTTTAATTGTGATTGGTACATTTTGATTTACTTGTAAATGAGTTTCTAATAATTAACTTTAAACACCTTTTTCTTATTGGTTTGGTTTCTATGTAGTTCTTGGTTCATTTGGTTGCTGTGCGTGGTTGCTAGGCAGCAGAAGGCTCTCTAATGTAAACATGCCTGTTAACAGTTAGTAACAGTTTTGCTGAAGTTACTACTGTCTCCACTTGTGTCTCAACCTTTCTTCATGTACGAAAGCAACGACTGTAAGTTTGAGTGTTGCTAATCGTTCATTTCTGTTAATCAAAGCTAAATGTACATTATTTCTGTTTTATTTATAGTTACACTCGAGCTTTTTACGATAACCTGTCTACAAGTCCTGTATTAAAGGATCAACCTGGCTCGTGAAGACCGAGTTTGGCTTGCTGTTGATTTACGTTAACATACTCCACGTATACAACGCGTATTGAGAACAGTGCACTGGCTGTTTACTTCCTCTTATTGCTGCGCGTCCGTAAGGGTTAGCAGGGGAGAGGCAATATTCAGTTCATAAATCATGCAGTAAAAATGTCATGGGGGTAATTGTGGTTTTCTAACACCTTTAAAGAGAGGCAGCTCGTGTTAGTGGGTTAACACCAGCGACGACCCTCATTCCTTCTCATTACGAGCTCATAGAGGCGTCGTCAAAGCTTTAGGTTTCTGGCTCCTCTGTGGCCTCTGGGCTTATTTTTTCAGCGTGCGAAAAGACTGAGAAGCGATGTGGAATTATTATATCAAAATTAAACCGTTCTTATTATGTAGTACGTTTTTTTTATTTATATACCACCTTTTCACTACAGATCTGAGTCTCAAAGCGGTTTACAATTGTTAATTTTGGGCATTTGTCTCTCACTCCAGACAGAGATGGGAGCGGGGTCGCCAGTACAGGAGGCACATGCCAGAACTATTGGACATATTTTTAGTGGTAGGGGAAACCGGAGTACCCGGAGGAAACCTACGCAGACACGGGGAGAACATGCAAACTCCACTCAGAAAGGCCCTGGTCCGACCGGGATTCGAACCCAGGACCTTCTTGCTGAGAGGCGAGAGTGCTATCCACTCAGCCACCGTGCCGCCCATGTAGGTCGTCTCAATGGGCGTT